CAGCATCCTCACATCCCAACCTAAACTCTTCATATTTCCTCTGAAACCTGTTCCTCTTCTGAATTCTTTCTTTCTCTTTGTGGTACCACCATTATCTCAGTCACCCAGGCTTGAAACACTGAAGCTTTGGGGATTTCTGTTGGACTCTCTTCCTACTCTCCCACCTCTGGTCAATCCAGGTTCTGTTGATTCTCCCTCTTCAATGTTTCTTATATCTATTGCTTAAAATCAATGAAAAAAATCATTTATTGTATCTTCTAGGTACAAGGCTCTGTGGTAGGTGCTAAGACACAAAGATGAAAAATGGCAGTCTCAAGTATCAGTCTATTTGCTTATCATCTAATAAGAGTGATCTTGTCTAATAGAGGATCAAAGAGTCATGGACTTGGAACTTGAAGGAACCTGAGAGATGACCTCAGCCAATCTTCTTACTGTACAGATGAGGGAAGCTATAGCTTCCTTTCCCACTCTTGAACAGGTAGTGCCCTAGGAATCTCATCGTCCTGCAAGATTGCTTCAACCCTGGAGCCTTATCAGTATTCCCTGCCCCTGGGGCCCCTCTCTCTGATTGGAGAAGGTGGAGTTGGCAAGCTTCTCAAAGAACCTCTATTTAAGGAGGGTTCCTGGCTCAGCCATTTCCCACGTGGCTACACTCCTCTGGGTACCTTCCCCACTTCTGACCCCTTTTCAGCTTTTGTGTGTTGCTTTCCCCCATTAGGATGTAAACTCCTTGAAGGAAAGAAGTACCTTTTTCTTTTTCATTTTTCTTTGTATTCCCAGGACTTAGCACAGTGCCTAGCACATTGTAGATGCTTAATAAATGTTTATTGACTGGTTAGAATCCACTATAGAAGTAATGGACAATGACATAGGAAGCACCTACAGATACGTCAGTAGCTTCAGTGATTGCAGCTCTTTATGACAGAGAGAAATTCTAGATATGGACTGTAGAAAGGTATTGATCCTCAGAGCCCAACAAAAAGCTACACCTTAAGGGAACTTCATGATCCCTGACAAAAGGAGAAAAAGATTTCTGGGCTCAGGAATTAGATGGGAGATTTCCCTTGGCCACATAGGTTCTCTATCCACATGACTCATTACCATTGAAATTTGAGCCTCTTGGGACCTTATGTGTGCAAGGGAAAAGTTCATCCTTGGGTTGGGGGAAATGCTTTGTTGTCTGTTTTTAATAATTTTTAAAATAATTACTATTCATGCTATGTATTTAGTAAATTGCTTTGCTAAAAGTTAATAGACTTCTATTGATTAATTAATAATAATGGAAAGCATGCTGGGGCTTGTAAGGAACCCCACTAGAAGCCCCAACCCCTCAGGGTTATCCCTATGGCTCTGAGGGGGAAAGTAAGGCAGCTATCCTCTGCCTGTGTGAGTGAGTTGGGAGGAAGCAGCCATGGAGGAGGGCTGCAATATGAAGTGGACTAATAAGATGAAAAGGCTAGTATGGAACCACGTTTTGAGGAGGCTGGAATGACAGCCTAAGTGGTTTATACTTTATTTGAAAAGCAGTGAAGAGCTAGCTATTGAAGGCTCCTTGGGCAAGGAAGTCACATGACCAGAGTTGACTTCTAGAAAGATTTATCTAGCAGTCTACATCTAGAAAAGGCTGAAGTGGGAATAGCTTAGAGGTGAGGAATATAGGACTGGGAGTTCAACCTAGGACGGTTCCTGTGGAAAGAGAAGGGAGTTTTCAGAGGATGAATCAACAATTCAAGTAGGGGACATAAAGTGAATGGTGTTGACTAGATCCATTAAGTAGAATTTTCAAGAATGAAGGAATATTGGACTCTTTCCTCCTTTTTTGTATTGTCTCTAGAAAAAGCACTCTCTACCAAAATAACAAGTGTAAATAGATACTTCTCTCTCGTAACTTATATTTGCACATGAAGAATGTGATTTACATCAAGATAAAAGAAATACAAACAAGCCTAGTTAGATATCTTTCTCATTTGAACTGCAAAAAAAAAAATCACTGCTTAATCTAACTCATTTCATCATTTTGCTTTAAGGATAAATTTTTAACTTTTTGTTAAAAGCCCACAGACCCCAGTTGTTTACAATGCTATTGGTAGCTTTTGAGACCCATCTGGGACAATATTCTGCCAATCTGAAAGCTGCCCTACGCTCTTCACTGATTTGTCTTTTTGCATGAATGATAACTGTATTCTGAGTCACGTAGCTCAGAATGGAGAGAGGCCCTTATGGTATGTGTCCATAGTATATAACCATGCCTGATGGTTTCTTCCTGGTCTGGAGAATGTTTCCCTGGAAACCAGTTCTGCCAACTTTTTCTGACTCTCTGTTTCTATGACCAATGACTATTTTCTATTGAAAAGGTTTTTGTTATTTAAAAAAAAAAAACTTCTGTAGCAGGCTTCCTGCAGATCTACAAACTAACCTTTCCAGAGACTTTTAAACATTTTTTTAGCAGGCCAGACCCTTTTCTGCTGGTTTTTTGAAAAATAACCTACCTTTTAAAGCTCATTTGAACAGAAAAAGTTTTGAACAGAGATATACAATACCTTCTTCATAATGTGTACATGTGTATGGGAGTCTTAATTTCCTTCCCATACACTATGTTCATTCTTGTCTTTGAGTCTTTGCTTATGCTTGTCCCCTCGCTTTGAATGTTCTACTTCCCCTTCCTCACCTACCCAAATTCTGTCCATCCTTCAAGGACCAGAATAAGAATAACACTTGTTTCTAAGTGTTTGATATTATTTTCTTATCGATTCATGTATGAGTGATTTTATCTCCCTGAGTAGACTGTGAGCTGTCTCTTTCTTTTATATCCTCCACAGTTTTTAAGAGTAAAAGTTGGGATCTCCAAAGGGTCTAAGGAAAGATTTGTAGATTGATGAATTCTTCTCCCACTCCATGCTCCCATCCATCCTACACCCGCCCCAGAATCTCATTTTAACAAAATGGCAGCTTTACAGAGCCACTGGCCCAGCTCATTTACCCCCAGAGCAATTGCTGGGAGTTTTGCTATGATTGTTAAGATTTCTTTCTTTTTTTTTTCTTTCCCTGAATCAACATTAGTTTTGCCGAATTCCCTCCCTCCCACCTGATAAGAACAGGGGTAATGGAGCTTGTAGGAAGTTTGGGGTTTGCTTTTCTTCCCTCTCCAGAAAGGCAGCTCCTGTCTGGCAGTCCATGGGCCCTGAGCCAGGCTGCTGACAATAGGAGCATTGTAGGCCCACTGGGCAATGGTGCTGTTAGCGCAAAATTAAACACACACACACACACACACACACACACACACACACACACACACACTCCCTTTTCTGGTACCACCTTTTTTATCTTCTGCCATCGAGCTCTTTGCCAACACTAGGGCTGTAACCTAATTCCCCATAATTGCATGTTCCCTGATACCACATTCCTGAGTTAGTTCCCTGCAATCAGTGTTGACTTAGGATATTAGAAGGTATTTCACCTTTTCCCCTAGTAGTCACCTAATAATGAACAGTCAATGCTGGCAATTTGGTGGGAAGCTGGTAGCTAGGGGAGAAGGGATCAGGGTGGTTGTTGAAATTCAGTAAACAATGCCCCATCTTGCTGTGGGTCTGGGAGGAATCCTACTTCCCATATTCTTCAAACCCCTCTGGCAGGGGGAAGGGGATCTGAACACTACTTTTGTTGATGTCTTGGTCTAATGCGAATGAGCAGAAAGAGAATGGGATAGAAAGGGGGAAGGCTCTTGCCTTTCTCCAAATGGGCATTACTGGCAGGGTCTGTCCCCCTCTCCCCCAACATCATGGATTTTTTGTATCTCCTTCCCTGCCTCTCTCTGTTTCTCTTTATGTCAGGCTCTACCATCTCTGTATCTCTCTTGGTTTATCTCTCTTTATTTCCGCTTTCCTTATTTTCTGAAATTGTTAAAAAAAAAGAACAATTGGTTTGGACTCCTGGGTTTGACTACAAGTTACTTCCTATGTGATTGTAGGTAATTGCTTAGCCTTTCTGGGCCTCAGTATCTTCATCTAGAAAATGATAAGGTTGAACAAGAATCTAGTCACTAGATGATCTGTAGTGCCCCTTCCAATTTTAAATTCTATTATCCTATGACTCCTCTCTCATCTTTCCCTTCTCTTCCTTCCACTCCCCTTCCCTCCCCTCCCCTCTCCCCTCCTCTCTTCTCTCCTCTCCTCTCTTTTCCTCCCCTGTTTGCTACTCCCCTTTCCCCATCTTCCTTTCTCTCCTCTCCTCTCCTCTCCTCTCCTCTCCTCTCCTCTCCTCTCCTCTCCTCTCCTCTCCTCTCCTCTCCTCTCCTCTCCTCTCCTCTCCTCTCCTCTCCTCTCCTCTCCTCTCCTCTCCTCTCCTCTCCTCTCCTCTCCTCTCCTCTCCTCTCCTCTCCTCTCCTCTCCTCTCCTCTCCTTTATTCTCTTCCCCTCTCTAAGCAGACTGGATGACCTTTGGTTACACGTACTATAGTAGGATTCTCTTTCAGGTGTGGGTTTGACCAGACCATCACAAAGGTCTCTTCTAACTCTGAAATACTATGACTCTCTTTCATTCTCTTTTTTTCTCTTCCCTCTCTCTTCAACTTCCTTCTCCCTGGACATGAGGTAGGCCTGGCTAGGCAGGGGAAAGGGAAACCCTGCTATCTTTTTTTTTTTAACCTCCTTGTGAAGTCCCAGGATTAGCTGCAAATCAGTGGGGCTGGGGGATTGCCAGGATGTAACTTCCTATCAAGTCTCCTCAGGTCTCTGGTATTAGCATCTCTCATGCTCTACTTGGTATCTGCATGATCTTGGGTAATTTAATTCTCTGGAATTCAGTTTGGGGGTGGCAGACACACTTCCCTGCTTCTTTCACCCTGAGCTCAGACCTTGTGTGACATTGTGATCTCATAGGGCTAGGCGCACAGGAGGGAAATGGGGAGGACCCAAGGTGGCTCAGGAATTAGCTGTAGGGTTGACCCAAAAGATGGTGCCAGCAGTGGAGGGTTGGGGCCTATGTTGCCACGTGGCACTCACCCTTTGGTTGGAATTTGGTTAGTGCTGATAGATGTGCTGCTGACCATTCCACAGAGGTTCCCCTGTGTTCGAGATCCACCGCTGTCAGATTTGGAACAAATTGTGTAGAATTATGTGCCATAGGGACGGGGTTCATAATTACCAGCAGGGCGGGCAGGCAGCCTGTATAGAGCTATCCCCATCATTATGTCCTTCAGAGGGTGGGGAGAGCTGGACCTCACCCAGGTTGGCCTGCCAGGCTCCTCATAGACAAGTATCCCTTTGCTGGGATCAATAGTAGCCTAGGAAAGAGGGTACAAATCAGTGCTTCAGCGAACCAACCAACTTCCCCCACCCCCAACCCGAGCCATGGCTGGACAAGTGCCCCAGAGGCCCACATATAGGAGTGCAGATGCGAACTCCTTACACCATGTGTTTAAGAGAAGGGCTGGGGAAGACCATTTCAGCAGAGCCAGGGGACTCTTGACTTACCTCCATAGTGAATTTTGCCCCTGTGGGTGACAGCTTTACTGCTTGTCATGACTTAGATAATCAGAGACATCATAAAGCCGGAGGGAACCTTTGCCCACCCTTGGGGGGGGAGGTCAGGTTGGGGATGGAGCGGAAGATTCCAGAATTTGCATGTGTTGGGCTACGGCCTTCCCTATGAGACAGGAATTAGAGTGCTGACGGTCACACCATCACATCCCATAGTGTTACAATGTCTCATCTCAACCTTGGATAGAATTAGAGAATTGTGTCCAACTAGATGGTACCAAAGCAATGATCTAGTCCAGAGGTTCTTAACTTTTTTTTGTATCATGTGCCTCTGCAGCAGTCAGGTGGAATCAATGGCCCGCTTCTCAGAGTGTCTTTAAATGCATAAAATAAAATATCAGCTAACATTTATATAGTGCCTACTAAGTGCCAGGGACAAATAGGTGGTTGTGGATAGAGTGCCAAGCTTGAGGTCAAGAAGACTCATCTTCCTGAGTTCAAATCTGGCCTCAGACACTTACTAGCTATGTGACCCTGGGCAAGTCACTTAACTGTTTGCCTCAGTTTCTTCCTCTGTAAAATGAGCTAGGAAAGAAAATGGCAAACCACTCCACTATCTTTACCAAGAAAATCCCAGAAGGTGTCATGAAGAATCAGGCATGACTGAAATGCCTGAACAGTAACAACAGCTATGTACTAGGCACTGTGCTTTACAAATATGATCTCACTTGATCCTTACAACAACCCTGAGAGGTAGATGCTATTATTATTCCCATTTTAGCATTGAGGAAATAGAGACAGATTGAGATTAATTGACCTGCCCAGGATCATACAGCTAGTAAATTTCTGAGGCTAGATTTGCACTCAGATCATCCTCACTCCAGTCCTGGAGTTCTATCCACTGGGCCATGTAGTGGGCAAAAATACATAGGATTACAAAGGAAACCAATTATATTTAGATGCAGTTATCTATGTGTCTGCCTATCTACATATATGTGCGTATATTATATATATGTATGTATGTATGTATGTATGCATGCATAAAATGCATGGACCACAGATAAGGAAGTCTTGATCCAGTCTAACCTTTTCAGAAGGTATAAAGTGACTTGCTCAAAGGTCCATAGCAAATTAGCATGATAGAACCATGTCTCCTGATACTAAGTTCAGTATTCTTTTATTTTTAATTTTTTTCAAAGTCTTCATTTCTTACTAAGTACCAAACTGTTTTGATGACTATGACTTTGGTGTATAGCTTGAGCTCTGTTTCTGCTACATCCCCTTCTTGCCCAATTTTTTCATTAATCCTCCTTAAATTCTTGACTTTTTGTTTCTTCAGATAAAATTTTTTATTAATTTTTCTAGCTGTCTGCAGTAACCCTTTGGCAGCTTGATTGGTATGGCACTGAATAAATAAATTATTTAGGTAGTATTGCCATTTTTATTATATTAGCTTGGCCTACCCATGAGCAATTAATATTTCTCTAATTATTTAGATCTTTATTTGAGTAAAGAGTATTTTATAATTGTGTTCTGATGGTATCTGTGGTTATTTTAAAGGGAATTTCTCTTCCTATCTCTTCCTGCTGGGTTTTGTTGGTAATATACAAAAAGTTTCTGTACTTCTAAATTTGTTAACCATCCACAAAAATTAAACTTAAAAAAAGAAATGAAAATGATCATGTAAAGAACATTTTTTTTTTCCCTCGGTCCTGTCTTTGCGTCAGTGCAGGGAACTCCAAGTATGGAGACACTTTCCACAGATGCAGATCTGTAATTCTTGTCTCAGAGTCTTGGAGGACTGCCCAGGCCACTGAGAAATTCAGTGACTTAACACAGCTAGTATGTGTCAGAGGCAACACTAAGTGAGGAAGGGCTTTCTGACTCCAGGGCTAATTCTCAATCTGCTCTACCGCATTACCTCTCACTAAATGAGTGAGCCCTTAACTGCTATGTGCCTCAGTTTCCTCCTCTGTAAAATGAGGTTGAGTTTGATGGTCTCTGAAGTCCTCTCCAACTCTAGAACTGTGATCCTTTGTCTTATGATGGTGTTTCTCTTTAAAATATAAACTCTAAATTATTTGCAATTTATTTTAAAATGCATATGTTACTTATAACAAAATAATAATCCCCCAACACTATTTATTTCTCTTTACCTTTCTGACCTGTTTTTCTTCTTTCTTTTGGAAATTCATATTTTGTTGCTGTTATTCTTTTGTATTTGTGTGAGATTGTCTGCCCTACTTTGACGTCACATTTTGGTAGGTGGGTTCTCAAAGGGATAGAGGAGTACGAGCCTTGGAGGTCCTAGCAAACTGGAATGGCTTTGATAGTACTGACAGTGGCCTGCTGACTGGTCTGAGGACTAGTCTAGCTCAGGTTGGAAAACCTCACCAGAAGCTTGGCTGCTTCGAGGTGATGAATGCTCCTCTCTGGAAGACCATCTTCTAATGCATAGAGATGGTAACATCTGGGCCCATAGAGGTAATTCCCCTCCCCACAACTGCCTCCTTTGTGAACTGACAGAGTACTGACATAATCGGTGGATGTAGTGCTTTTATCCTGCTTTCTTCTCTCTGCTTGACTTCATTCTACTCTTCCTTCATTTCTTTGTAGTTTCCTATCTCTCCTCACTCCAGTCCAGTCTCCACTGAAGTGTCAAAGTGATCTTCCTAAAGCTGCCTAAAGTTTGACTACAACACCTCCCTTACTCAACAAACTTCATGGCTCCCTATTACTTCCAGGACCAAATATAAAAGCCTCTGTTTGGCTTTTAGAGCCCTTCATAACCTGACCTCTTCCTTCCTTTCCAGTCTTCTTACATACTACCCCCTTCCATGTATACTTTGATTCAGTGACACTAGCTCCTCCCTGTTTCTCTCATAGAACACTTTTTCTCCCAACTGTCAGCATTTTCCCTGGCTCTCTCCCAACCCTAGAATACTCTGTCCTCATATCCCCCTTCTGGCTTCCCTGGTTTCCTTCAGATATCAGCTGAAGTCCTACTTTCTGCAAGAAGTCTTTCCCAGTCCTCCTCAATCTTTTCCTTTGAGACTATTCCCAATATATAGCTTGTTTGTACATAGCTATTTGCATATTGTCTCCCCCATTAAACTGTGAGCTCCTTGAGGACAGGCTGTGTCTTTTGCCTTTTCTCTCCCCAGCCTTTAGCATGGTACTTGGCACATAGCAGAAAATAAATGTTTCTTCATTGGTAGGTTGATTTATTTGTAACATGGGAGCGATCCATAAGTCACTCTGGGGAAACCCTGATCTGGTGGGGGGAGGGGGGGATGGCATTTAGAGAGAAGTGAACCTGAACAGACAAAGACTTGGGATTGAAGAGAGCAGGCCTTCCAGAGCCCCTGGGAGGCAGTGGTGGTGGAGGAAGAAAGGGGAGTGAGTGAACAGGCCGCAGGGAAGCCAGTGACCAGGGTAGCCAAGTCTTGAGAGCCAAGAGAGGCTTTGAGAATTACGAGGCCGTGGTTCACATTGTTCTAAAATACAATTAGAGGATAGCAAACAAGAAAGAAAACAGCCCAGCCCCAGCAAGCATTTTTGTGGTCAGATGCAACATTTCCCCCCCTGATTTTTCCAATTGAGCTCAACTCGATTGTCCTGTCTTCAATTATGAAATAAATAAAAGGCTGGAAAACTGGGGGGTGGAGATTGCTACAGAAAAAAAAGCTGTGTAGTTCTTTTCAGTATGCCTTAAGGAGAATGTGGAATACAGTTACCCAGTACCGAGCTAGAATATAGGTCTAAAAAAATAGGACGAGAAAGCTATCCTGTTTCCACCCCTAGAAGACTGAATTTTCTTTCCAGATTTATAGAAACATATACCGTAATAATAACAGCTCACATTTATATAGTACTTTGAAGGTGACACTGTACTTTCTGGACATTATCTCATTCGACCCTTGCAACAACTCTGCAACGTATGTGCTGTTTTTATCATTAATAAAAGATAGGGAAAGTGAGGCTCAGGAACTTTCATTGGCTTGCCCAGGATCACACAGCTAGTGTTTGAAGCAGGTGTCTTTATCAGCTAACTTTTTTTTCTAAGGCAATTGGGGTTAAGTGACTTGCCCAGGGTCATACAGCTAGTAAGTGTCAAGTGTTCAGTTTGAGGCCTCATTTGAACTCAGGTCCTCCTGACTTCAGGGCCAGTGCTTTATCCACTGTGCCACCTAGCTGCCCCCTATTAGCTAACTTTTTAAGCTAGTCCATGACTGCTACCTTGTTTCCATCCACCTACCTGGTTTCCAGTTCTTCCTTCCTACAAAAAGTGCAGCAATAGATATTTGGTGTATATGGGACTTTTCTTTTTATCACTGGCCTTCTGGGTATATATGCCTAGCAGTGAGATCCTTGAGTCAAATTGGATAGACATTTTAGTCATTTTTCTTTTCTTTTCTTTTTCCAATTATTTATTTATTTATTTTTAGTTTTCAACATTCACTTCCATGAGATTTTGAGTTTTAAATTTTCTCCCCCTTCCTCTCCTCTCCCCACCCCAAGATGGTGTGCAATCTAATATAGGTTCTATTTGTACATTCATATTAAGCGTATTTTCACATTAGTCATGATGTAAAGAACAATTAGAACTAATGGAAGGAACCACAAGATTGAAGTAATAAAACAAAATAACAAAGGAAAAAGAGAGCAAATAGTATACTTCCACCCGCATTCAGACTCCAAAGTTCTTCCTCTGGATGTGAATAGCATTTTCCATCAGGAGTCTTTTGGAGTTGTCTTAGATCCTTGCATTGCTGTGAAGAGCCAGGTCTATCAAAGTTAGTTATCAAACAGTGTGGCTGTTACTGTGTACACTGTTCTCCTGGTTCTGCTCATTTCATTCAGCATCAAATTATATAAGTCTTTCCAGGTTTTTCTGAAGTCTGCCTTCTCATCATTTCTTATAGCACAATAGTATTCCCTTACATTCATATACCACAATTTGTCCAGCCATTCCCCAATTGACAGGTATCCCCTCAATTTACACTTCT